AAGAATAGTAGGGGAAATGTAGAATCTAAAGAACTTGAGACATGTGGACATAAACTAAAGGGGGGAATGGTGGGGGAGGAGGTGTGCAGGGTGGAGGAGAATAAAGGGGGGAATAGGACAACTGTAATGGCACAATCGATAAAATATATTAAAAAAACATGACTCAGGGCTCATGTGCAAAATCCATTAAGATCTTCCAGAAGTCGTGGTTAACCAATAAACAATGCAATGCAAAAATGGGCAAAATTCTTGACATGTTATTTCACACACAAAAAGTTATACAAATGGCCAAAAAATAGAAAACCTTGTTCAACCTCATGAGTAATCTTGGGAATGCATACCCAAACCACCATGCAATACTCCTGTTCAAAATCAGAGCTGCTAGAAAATGATAGTGATGCACAATAATAAGAACCTGTGAGACTATGGCCCAGTGAGAAATCTCACACACTACTCAGAGGAGGGTGAAATGGCACAACAGTTTGGGAAATAGTTTGACATTATTTATTAAATTTGAAGTTACACACCTCTTACAAACCAGCAATTTTATTTCTAGGTATGCACATGTGTACCAAGAAATATACACCAGAATGTTCACATATCACAATTTATAATGGCTCCAATTAAAAAAAATAAATTTTCATCAGCAGTTGAATGGATAAGTATATTGTTCATAAAGTGAAATTCCATCATCATTGAATATGAACTAACCACACTCAACAATAGGAATGAATCTCACAAATGTAATATTGAATGAGACCAGACGACCACAAAATCACACGAAATGATTGCATTCATTTAAATTTTAAAAAGCAGGGAAAACTAAATTGTAGTGCATTGTGACTTAGTTTGTAAAATATTAAAGAAAAACATTCTCTCATTACTTTCAAAACAAAGGTAAAGTGGCTTCCTTTGTTGGGAAGGAGAGGCCAACAGTTAGGAGAGGAGGAGGAGGGCGGGGCTTTCTGGGTGCCTGCAAAGTTCTGTTCCTTAACTTGGAAGGGTGTTCACACCCGTGTTTGCTTTGCAATATACGTGGAGCTGTGCACAACTTTATTTTTGCCCCTTTCTTTCTCTCTCTCTCTCTGTATAATTTAATAAATGGAATAAAATATTTTAAGACAAATTACTTAGTCTATCCACTTTAAGTACAGCAGTAAATCAAACTGTCCTTTTGAGTTGCTTGAAAATACCTGAAGTCCTTGATTTAATTATTTTTCCAATTATGCTTTAATTCTTCATTTAATTTATGCTCATAGTCTAGTTCCTACATTACTTTGCATTAATTTGGTGAAGTAAATTAATATTGAATGAGAATCGAAGGCTCTGGTGTCATTTGGATTAACACTTTGTTTAATTATTAGAAGGCTTTGTATATTTAGTTTGGCTTCAGAAATGACTTCAAATGTGTAAGTATAGAAAGAGTAATAGTATGATCTTTGGAGGAAGGACTTAATCATTTGTAAAAATAATGAGAAATACTCTTAGATGTATCTAACTGATCTACTGCATGACAAAAGCTATTTATATCATATATTGGTATATTAAAATGAACCTGGTTTGAAGCAATTCTATTATTAATATAAAAAATCATCACTAAATGTAGGTAATGCCATACCATGAACCAACAAATTAAATTTAATTGTATATTTCATTCTAAAAATATAATCTAATATTGCCATTTCAGAGGGTAAAACTGAGCAGTTGGTTCTTAATCACCTTGAAAAATTAGAGATTTAGCCTACCCGCAAGCTAGCCAATTAGCTGGCCACAGTTGCATCAATGTTGGTAGATGAAAACTCCTGGGTAAGAGAGATGAAGACTATCACTCAGGGGCAGCAAGTGGTAGGAACATCAGCATATTGTGTGCCGTTTTCCTAGCTCCAGTTCTCACAAGCCTAAGAGCATCACGTAATACTTGCTCACACAGTGGGTGTTGTTACAGGGGATCAGGTCTGAGTTGTGAGAACTCAAGCCAGTCTGCCTTTTGTTCAGGAGAGAGACAAGATCTCTGTCTTCCTAAACTCTAAGCAAACTTACCCTTTGTTCAAATGGAAATGCTATCTTTAGCTTCCAAGGCTCTTTCAAGATTGTTTACCACAGAGCCTTGACAATATAGTCTGGAAAAAAGAGAAGTTAGTGCCTTGCTCATAGACAAGTAGAAACACAAGAGATCCATGAAGAGTTGTCGTCCAATACTGGTGATAGTTTTTCAACCATCACACAGTCGATAGGAGACAACTTTTCTTCAATTTTTTGGCTTGGCCCAAAATAAATTAATTTTCTCTGAAATGGAACCACATTATTTAACACTTGCATTCAGAATGCTTTGGGGAGTCCAAACACATAGAAGGACTGTTACATGGTGTGCATGTATGCACAAACCTACCTAGGTAGCTTTATTATTTGCTCCCCAATTAAAATGTAAATTTCCTGAGAATAATGACTTTGTCTCTGTGAGTGTGTGTGTAACTTATTCTCTTATTCTGGTTTCTACATTATATGCATTAATTTAATTAATAAAACGATATAGGTCTGCCATCCATCTTCTTAAAACAATTTTAAAGAAAATCTTTCTTCTCATGGCCATGAGAAGAAAAAGTGTAATCCGAGGGTTCTAATGGCCATAAAAAATGACGGTATTTTCTTATTTTCAAGATCATTTATCCATATTATCTGGGACAATGGCCCGCACATAGTAGAAGTCGGTAAGTATTTTTGCATTGCTGGACTTGAACTCAGTAGCCCCTTCTACACTTTGTAAGCTCCAGGTTGCTCTTGTTCAGTAACACATGTTGTGCTTTGAAAACGGGAAGCATTTCTTTTTCTTTTTTTCTTGCAGCTGCAGATAGTCATGTTAAGCTTAACGATTCCTGTTCCTTACAGTGATTCTAGTGTATAGGTGCATAACACCGGCTGAAGAATCATATGTCTCCAGAAATAGTAGTTTTATTATAAGTCAAGGAGCGCCTATTTTTCCCCTTCCTCTTCCATACAAATTTCGCAGCCACAGTTTAGGGTTGAAATACTGTGCACAAAATTTACCCCCGAGGCTTCATTATCAACACAATGGTTTGGAAACACTCTGGTCTTCTCTTCTAAATTAAAGATTTCAACGACAAATACAAAAAGTATAAAATGTTTCCATACTCCTTGTTCATTAAATTACCTCGTACAGGAACTGGCAAACGGGCGTCAACGGGAATTGCCATCCACAGGGGCCACGGACGCTCCAGGGTCTCGCACACAAAGGGTGGGAGAGGGGCGTGGGGAGGACGCGGGGCGTCGCCGTCCCGCCCGGCCGGGCGGTGCCCGCGGGAGTAACCTGCTGGAGGCGGGGACCAGGAGCAGGCTAAACTTGGGGCTCTGGATACTTGAATGCCACCTCCATCGCCGCCCTTCCGAACGAGCCCGGCAGAGAGGCGAGGAGTGCGCGTGTGAGCCGAGTGCTTACGTCGCAGCGAGCTCGGTGCTGGGATAATTAGAGAGGAGTTCGCTGCACCGAGTCCGCCTTTCAGCAGCGGGAGCGGGAGCCTCAGCGGCAGCTGCAGCCGCAGCAGCAGTAGCAGCAGGAGGGGAGACCTGGCTCCCATCCTCCGCGCGAGCACGGGGAGAGGTGGCCCGTGCACCCCGGCAGCCGCCCCGCCGCGCCCACCGCCCCTGCGGTTCCCGGTGCACAAAGGCGGAGGCCGCCCGCGTGGCCTTCGCCACCAGGCGCTCAGTTCCCTCTCCTTCCCTTCTCTCCTGAGAGCGAGAATGGCAGGGCTGAGCGAGGGCCCGGGACAGACGTGGCCCTAGCTTTGCGCTCCCCTCCGCCCCTCCTGCTGGGAGGGGCAGCGGGTTGCTCGCGGAGGATGTGGCCGCGGCCGCTCCCCAGTGTGTCCTCAGCCCGGGAACCCGCCGCCGTCCCTCTTCTCTGCCGGATCCGTCCCACGGAGCGGAGCCGATGCTGCCGCCGCCGTTGCTGAAACCGCGGCTGATGGATGCCAGGAAGTGCCGCATTGCCTCGCGTCCCCGCCTCCGGGTTTGCTGGTAGGAGCCTTCTGCTCTTTCTTCCTTCCCTCTTGCTCTGGGGTTTTATAAGAAGGTGGAGGCGTTAGTCTCCACTCCTCTTTTGCACCTTCTCACCCCACCTAGCATTTGTAATGTTCGTTCCCAGAGAGGATGCCCCAGTCCTCCCCGGCAAGTCCGTTGAAATAAAGGGCTGGGGAAAGGCAGAAGTTGGGGGTGGGGTGGGGGTGGGGGGAGCCAACGCTGGGGCCAACGCGACCAAAAACCCTTCTGGTGCCTTATTGAGATCGCGGGTGTATCTAAGAGGGGCGGAGGGAAGGTGCGCTATAGAGTCTCCGCCTGATCGGATCATAATAATTTTAAATAAAATCCCACAAATATCTTTTGCAAATAGGTTCTTTGGATACGCAGAAGGAGAAATAAGCTCCTTTCCCCTCTCTTTCTCTTTCTGTCTTTTTCTTTCTGGCAAAGACGCTCTTCCCCTCCTTGGAGCTCAGCGCTGAACGGCCACCTTATTATTAATCACAATCCCCATCGTTGTCCCTGGCTGGAGCATCCTTCGGTAGGGACTGCAGAAGCGTCCAAGTGCTGCGGTGAGATGTGCGTGGGGGTTGTTTTTGTTACGTCTTGGGAGAGAAGAGGACAGCTCCAAGATCAGCACCGCCCGCGCGGGGTGCGATTAGGCGCGTTTTGTTAGGGGAGAGAGGGGACGAGAAGAGGAGCGCTGGGACGGCCAAAGGTGCGCATCTCTTTAGAGGAAAGGAAAGAGGGAACCAAAGTGGGGGCGGTTTTTCAAGGGAGTGTGAAAAGAAGTTTCTATCCATAAAAAAAGCTGTGGGAAAGCGGGAGCAACAGGATACTTGATTGGACACAAAGACAAATCATTTCCTGTAAAGAAGAGGAAGCAGGCATCTTCCAGGTCTGGAGGCCAGAGTGTGGTAGTGGCAAGGGCCAGGTTTGTTGTGGGACAGTCAGCAGGAGGAAGGGAAGGCTCGGGAACAAACAGAAGGATGACTCACTTACAAGCTGGTCTGTCTCCTGAGACCCTGGAGAAAGCTCGCCTGGAACTCAACGAGAACCCAGACACATTGCACCAGGACATCCAGGAGGTGAGGGACATGGTCATCACCAGGCCGGACATTGGCTTCCTGCGCACGGATGATGCCTTCATCTTACGCTTCTTGAGGGCCAGGAAGTTTCATCACTTTGAGGCCTTCCGTCTCCTGGCCCAATACTTTGAGTACCGGCAACAAAACCTGGACATGTTTAAAAGCTTCAAGGCCACTGACCCTGGCATCAAACAGGCACTGAAGGATGGCTTCCCTGGGGGCCTGGCCAATCTGGACCACTATGGCAGGAAGATACTAGTCCTTTTTGCTGCCAACTGGGATCAGAGCAGGTAAATCTTAAGTGCCAACTTAACTAGGGATTCTTTTATTCTCCTGTTTTACAGGATTTACCCTCAGTAGTGTCATAGCTTTACAGCTTTGAGGCTATGACTTGGCTGGGAACAAAAGGGAAACTGGAACTAAAACATAAGTTATTGGGAGGCACCTGGGGTAGTGAGAGGAGGGAATTTTTTTAAACCTTTGAGACTCTCACTTCACAAGCACCCAGTTTCTGCTGCAGATTTAAGTGCTTCCTGAGCCCTTTAAATTTCTGCTGCAATCTAAATCATTTAACTTCCAAATACATCTGCTGAGTTTCCCACCTCCTGAGTAAGTTTACTGTGCTGCAGAGAAATTAGTATAAGAATGGAGATAACTTTTTTCCTTCCTTCTAAAGAAATTATTAAACTAGATTCATCATCATCATCATTATCATCATCACCGTCATCTTCATTACCGCCACCATCATCCATCATCATCATCATCATCTCTGTCTTTGGTACTGAGGTTTTATTTTTTAAGGATAGCCTGGGGTTCAAGCAAGATCAAGCAGTTTTGTTGCTGGGGAACTTTTCTGCTTGGTGACACGCAGATGGAGGAATGATATGATGTGTGTCACTTCAGTGAAAAGGCAGAGCTGTATTCTCAGGTTCTGAGCATGCCTGCCCACACTGAAATGAAGGCCGACTGGTGTGCTTGCTCTTCCCTTCACTAATCCAAAGAAGGTGTTTCCTGACTGGTGTGATTTTTCATCTCTTGGAAGGAAGTTAAAAATACTCAGGTAGACTTTTTGAGCTCTCTTGCTTTTAAATGGAGGGGAAACCATATTTTTATTTTATTTACATTACCATAGGAAAATGTGAAGAGTGACTCTCCTACTTCCTCAATCAGAATTCTTTTCTCAGATTGACAGATATAAGAAATTATAAATGCTTGTGTATAAGGGAGTTTCAATTAAGTTCAAAGGTAATGCACTTCATGGAACTTAAACAATATTCAAAACTGTGAATCATAAGGAACTGGTTGCTAAAATATTGGTGTATTTTTAGGTCTGTGAATGGTGACTTTAGATGCACCAGGTTAATTTAAACCATCCCTGAAGCAATTATAAAAGACTTTTCAGTGACTGGGAAACCTTATAGATAGGCCTCTCAGAATCTTGAGATCCTAGAAGGTAAATTAATATTTTAACAGGATTTGTACACTTTAATTGGTTATCTTTTCTCTCTAATTTTAGGTTGAGAATTACTACAATTATTTTTTAGGTAAATATAAAGACAAACCACTATGTGAAGAATCCTAAAATCATAAAGCTAAGAAACTCACAGAGAGTTAGCCATTCAGGGGGAATGAAGTCCTGTTATTTCCATTGATTGGTTACAGAAACCATTTCTCTTTTTAAAAGATTTTATTTATTTATTTATTTATTTATTTATTTATTCTCAGAGGAAGGGGAAGGGAGGGAGAAGGAGAGGCAGGAAGAGAAACAGAGATGTGTGAGGGAAACATTGATCAGTGGCCTCTCCCACACCCCCATACCTGCACTGCAACCCAGGCATGTGCCCTGAACGGGAATAGAACTGGCAACCCTTTGGCTTGCTGGAGAATGCCCAGCCCACTGAGCCACACCAGTCAGTGCAGAAATCATATTCTACTTTTTACCAGATAGAAAAGTTTAAAGGACCATGAAATGCCAATTTTGACCAATGTGTTTCTTTAACTTTTTTTTTCCATCTAGGCAGTACATGTTGGAGTCATGCAAACCAATGATTGTGTATATCAAATTTGAAAACTTCTATACAAAATAGAACCTGATATTCTATTTGTCAGTTAGATTGGGACTTTGTTTATTAAGCTACAGTTAAAATGGGAGCTATGGAAATAGCTCTTGTGTTTAAATATGTCTCAAAGTCTGAAAGTTGTAATTAGTGAGGCAGATTGCATTCAGGGAGGCACGCATTTACATTAGACCTATTTTAATTTATTTTTATAAGCGAACTCATATTGCCACTGATTTATAAACCTAGTTAAGATGAAAATCACTTAACAGTTCTCATGTATGTGGGAATTTGATTATTCCAGATTACTAAAGAAACTGTTTTTGTTGTCTATTTCATGCTTTTTTTAAAACAATGCCATTAATTCAAGTAAATATTTTTAGAGATTTTTATTTACTTATTTGTAGAGAGAGGAAGGGAGGGAGAAAGAGAGAGAGAAACATCAGTGTGTGGTTGCCTCTTGTGTGGCCCCCACTGGGGACCTGGCTCACAACCCAGGCATGTGCCCTGACTGGGAATCGAACCTGAGACCCTTTGGTTTGCAGCCTGTACTCAATTCACTGAGCTACGCCATCCAGGACTATTTCATACTTTTATATAAAGGATAAGTTATTAGTAATCAAAATTTGTCTCCCTAAAAATCTGCAGTGGGAGAAGATTTATTAATTGGTATAATAAACTGCTTTCTATTAAATCTACTTAAATTTTTAAATATTAAAATTTGTACATGTGAAATTAAAAATGAGAAGCTGTGTCTTGTGAAAACACTGTAATGGGTTGTGTAGACTAATAACTGTGAATGCTATTTATGGATGAAAATGAGAAGAATAATCATGAAGTTATAGTATATCAAGGTCAAAAGAAAGCGCAGGGGAAAGTAATGGGGGAAACGTGGGACAACTGTAATTGAACAATAATAGGAGGGGTGGGGGGTGGGAAAGAAAAAAAAAATAATATATTTTAATATTAAAAAAAAGAAATTAAAAAAAATATTAAAGCAAAGAAATAAACGTGGGAAACCAGGAAAAAAGTTATACAAGTTATTTAGAACTTGACTAAAATTTAGTTGAGTTTTCTCTTTCCATGTATTTTTTAAAAAGTTATTTCTTCCTTCTCCTCTCCTGCCCATCCCAAACCTACATATCCCTAATTCCAAGGACTAGTGGATGAACAGGTCTACCCTCTTGGCTTCCTCTGTAAACCGTTATCATTGGGGCGTATGCATAAGAAAGGCCCTGAGACTTGCAGCACCCCTGCCTTTCTGGCAGTACCAGGGTATGGACAGCCCGTCCCCTACTTTCCCTTCCGCCTAAATCCCCTTTCTTCTTCTTCCACTTCTCAGCCTCAAGTCTTATCTGACTAGAATCCTGTGGAAATTGCTACCACCTTCCCTAGATGATTACCTTACTATTGCTTTGTTAGGGGCACAGCCCTGTGCTAAATTCTCTCATTCCCCTCCTGTCCCATGAGTTGGGTGTTCTCGCCTTCCCGCTCTGATCCTGCAGTCCCAAACAACCTGGGTCTCATGAGAAGGCTGCACATCTGCATGTAGTTCTGGCCACCTTCCTTGACTTGTTCAATGAATTACCTGGCTTTCAACAACTTTTTACAAAGTAGCATTGTTTTAAAGCAACAATAGGTGGGTGGGAATGTCCACAATTACAGAGGCAAATTCCAGACATGGGCTAGAAAGAAAAAGCCCCCCCCCCACCGATTTGGAAAACAGGTTATTTCCAAAATGTATTTTTCCCAATTATGTATGTCTGCTTCCATTATGTATTTTTTTAAAAAAATGCTAAGTAGGAAGTGATCTAATGCATACTTTCTCCTATATTAAATTTGTAGGACAGTTTTCTGTGCTCCTCAGGAGGCTGGAAATAGTAAGTGTGTGTGAGATGGTGACTATAAATAAAATAGTGTTTCTTTCTACTGCGATGTAATGCAGGTCAGTTTCAGGTTATTTAATTGGACCATTCCCAAAGCCTTTACAAGAAAGAGGCATGGAATCTTCAGGAAGACTAAGTTAAAATAATATTTACAGTATACCCACTTTCTAATAATAAATGAAAAACTGGAATGTCAAAATGACTTTCCGGTTAGTTTGTGGTTCTTTTTAAAAAGACTTGAACAGGCTCAGATGACATTACATTTCTTGAGCAGGCTATCTTTGGAAAATATTCATACAATTTTATCTTCCTTCAGATTATCTAACATAATTTCTGGGCACAAAAGTAAATTCTACAAAATGAAAAACAATTTGGTGGTTTCACTGCATCACCAGGATGCAGGTGGCCTCCTCGCATTCCACGCTGTATTCCTGTCATGAGTGACAGTGCCCTGCTTCGGATTTGCTCTGCAGACACCTTCACATGCTCACCTGATGTTAACAACAGAATGTGGGGAAGATGTGTCGTGAAGCTAGAAGTGATTGCACCACCTTTAATTCCAAGTTTGGAATCAAAGTAGATTATGATCTACACCCTAGGACATGAGAGTGGGCATCTGAGTAGTTGACATTTACTGACATATATACTTACTGGGAATATTCATGAGCAAATTGTGTCACCTGAAATATAATGGTGACACGTATTCTGACAATTGGCCTGTAAATTTTCAGTTAGCCTGAAAGTCATATTTTACCTCATTAGATTTATAGTTTTCTATGTTTTAGTATAGCAAACAATCTCTTATCTGGAATCTGGTTAATAACCATTAGAAAACAAGTAAATGCAGCTAAACTAAAATGATTCTTGATACAGTGGCAATTCAGAAAACACTGACCATCTTGTAGCTCTGTTTGACTTGTCATAATGAACATTGATTATCACTTAGAGTATTTATTGAAGCTCTGGAAGGGGTAGAAGGCTGACTGCTCAGACACAGCTCTGATCCCAAAACCTATCCTGGAATCAGCCTGAAAAAACGTGTTTTTGTCAGTTTGTTTATTTTGCGTGGCTTTTTCATAGAAAGAATTTATAGAAATGGTTAGCTACTTGCAGCTTTAGATTGGACTGTGGTTATATTTCCATTTATTAAAGTAGTGTAACCAATCTCTAAACTGAAAGGAGGTTTATGATGATGCTAGACTAAGATTTAAAAAGTAACCATGGACTATACAGATCATTTTTGCCCTGATTTTTCAAGACCTCCTGGCTTAATTTATTAAAATATTTAAATATTTCTCAACTATTTGCTGCATGGTATTGTATGGTCAGGAATGTTTCCCTTCAGAA